CATAACGGCCAACAGTATGTGTAAATAAATAAAACATCCCAAAACCACTTATGATTATGAGAGACACCGGAAATGCAGCCGGCACAGTCGGGATTCGATCCCGTGACCCGCGGATCAGCAGCCGAGCAATGCAGCCACTAGACCACCGCGGCGGGTCTATCACGACGGAGTAAGTGTCTATGGGTCGATAATAATGAAATGAACGCTGCAATTTGGGGTAATGGTGTTCAAGCGTAGTTCTCTACAACAGTTTCATTAGCAGATTAGAGGACGATATGGCGGTAATACATAAATTTTTAGATTAAATTGAAGTTTCCGGGAAACAATTACTCCACGGTGTGACGTTTTTCATTGCGTATGCATACCCATCTGTTTTATCACCATCACCATCATCATAAATATTGTCACAACCATTGCAGACAAACGACAAAATTTCGAGAACACAAGTTACATCACTGGAGAGTAAATTGCTGCTGAAGATAAAATGAAGGAATGTTTAGAGTGCGCAGCGTGGGACAGCAAAGAATGTGGAACTCACTCAGATTCCTTCAAGAAACACAGTTTGCCCTTGAGGCTCACTCGAACTCAGTCTCACCGAAATATTACTCACCCTGACTCATTGAGACTAAGACCCGCACCTCGGTCTGGGTCTGAGTGTCTTTTCGCGAGTCAGTTCGCCGACCTGTGCTCGTCAGCAGACGTAAAAAGAAGAAAAAAAAAGACAGTCTTTGCGTTTCGATTGTTTCTTGAACCATAGCGAGAATCCGACCTATTAGCATTGACAAAAAAAAAGTAAACACCTACTAACAAGAAAACAAAAGCGAAATAATCATTGTCTCGCATACCGTCCTTTAGGACGGTATGCGAGACAATGACCATTTCATCCAATACGAAGAATACGTGTTTGCCAAACGCCTTACCATGAGGCTCACCGAAGCAGCCGCCGCTTTTTGCGAATGGCTGCACCAGCGGAAATCGTCTTATGTATAGTATAATAGAGCTGGCCGCCTTGGTGAACTACGCAATTGCCCCTGAGGACGATACACGCAGGTTAAGCTCGTCAACCCTTTCCCCTTTTTATATCTGTTCTCAACCTCCGGTAGCATCCCCTTTTCTTTTTTGTTCCCTGCCCTTTTTATTTTGCTATTGTACGCTACAGAACTAGGATGCCTTAGAACGTTGTACACACGGTCTACACTTCAGATAATGTGTGCAATGAGTAAATCCCGAGGACTGCGGTCGGGCTATACAAAAAAAAAATAGAATTGATTCTAAAACAAGTAGTAGGTGGTCTGTTGACACCATCGTCTTGACACCAAGAAAGTGGTGTCTTGACCTCTTGTATACGTCTTTGCACACTACTGTCTATAAGAATGAATACGAACAGCTGACTCAGCTTTTTGAAAAGTTGAGTATCTTCTATATAAGGCTAACCATGGAGCCAACCGCGGGCTATTTCATCTACTCTACCGTAACACACCTTCACCATGGGTTACGGCTGCATTTACCGCACCCTGATTATTACGTGCCAATTAGTTCGTGGTCATGTTACGCTACCGGATAGCTTCACAACTTGCTTGTGTACATCGGTGCAGGAATCCCTTCTTGAAAAACACGGAGGCCACCATACTGCACGTATCTAGTCGCAGATTGGTGATATATATGCTGGGAAGCGTCGCTGCCAGATTCGGTGGCCGCTTTGCTGCACGCATCTATCCACCATTCGTCGGTTGAGGCGCAAGGGTGTCTTCCTGGCCTCGTCGCTGGCCGCTTCTATAGTGCACGTATCTATCGAAGCGGGGCGGAAGAGCGAGACCCTGCGCATCTGGAAAATTGGCCCAGCTCGGTATGGGTCTCAGGTGACCCGTTTGGCGGTCTGTCGCAGCGGTACCGCTTGTAATATCGCCTGTCGTTCGAGTCAGCCGCGTATCCTCAATCACCGCAGGAGACGAGATCGCCCTTTGTGTTGCGGCCCATGCAGTGTCACCGCGTCCTCTTCCTATTTTTAGCCCTCTTCTCCCTTCCTCTTTTTTACTTTTTTTTAGCTTTCACTTTCATTCAAGGCATCGAAGACTTTCTGGGAGCTTCGTTTTCCATTTTGTAGCACAAAGCGCCTGTGTTTCTTCACGGCGTGTCTTACACGCGCACCCATACTTGCTTTCATTCCACCAATGGTTATTTGTGGTTCGCTTCTTTTATCTTAACTGTAGCGGCAACGGTGATGTCATTCGTAAATTTTTTTTTCCAGGCCCATTCACCGAGGAAGTTATCCTGCGAAGGAATGCGATGTACCCCTGTTACCGTCAGTACATCTGATCTTTCTATAACATTATTATCATTTATGTATAGTACCGAGTGTCTATACGAAACAATTTCTACATTATTACTAAACTTCGATAATAAAGAAAACGTTCATCACCTTGATTTATTTGCGAGGTAACCGAATACCTCGCGTTTTCAACAAGGAAAGTAAGAGAAAAATGACAAGGATACTGAACCATGTTCGCACTCAGAAACCCATCCACCCCCACACAACGAACCCACAGATGCACACAAACATGCGTACAGACACGCTCGCTCGCTCGCTCGCTCACTCACTTACTAACTCACTAACTCACTCACTAACTCACACCACGCAATTTACAAACACGCATCCACTAGAGTCCAGTCCAGCAGAAAGCACCGAGAAACGCAGCCTTCAGTGACAGCAGAAACGGTATACACCGTGAAGAGTCACGGGAGGGGTGGTGGGGGGAATAACCGCTGTTGCAGGGGCTCCGGGAAAGCGAAACCTGCACCCGCCAACGCCGGGAGGTTTCAATCACAGCCGCTTGAATAGGCGAACCCGCTTGCTCTTCTTTATTCGATACGGCCCGGTAGCAATCGTTCTGCTTCCGCGACCCGGGGTGCGGGCCTTGCGCCGGCTGCGGTGTTCTTTCCTCTCCACCTTCCCGCGGCTATGGTCTCTTCCATTTCTCCGGCACGGACCACGGATCCATCGCCTTGTTTTCGCGGGATTTCCAGGCGCGGCAGCTTTTTGGTGTCTCGCGTTTGTGCGTGTGGCGCAAAGCGGCCGCGTCTTGCATTTTGTGCCGGACGGTTTGCCGAGGGCGGTATACGCCGCGGTGGTCAATACGGGCACGCGAATGCCCACGCGCGATTCCCACCGTTCGCTGCCGCCATGTTATGACATCGCCGTTTGTCACCGAGATGTCCTTCCCGACAAAACTTCGAATCTCAATTCTCTACCGAGTCAGCCAAGATGTTTGATTTTAGGCTTATTATCTTGATTCTCTACACAATGTAGGTGTTCGCCTTTTCTTTATTTTAAGCCAAGTGAATCCTTACAAGGTCCCCTACGCAATCAATTAAAATTACTCCAAGGCAAAAGCCATTTTCTTCTCTTTTTTTTTCTGTTCATTCAATGTATTAACCCCTCCCCTTCTTCTTCGAAAACTTCCTGCTCCTAACACGGTTCTGCTGGGGCCGCTAAATATGAAAGAGCTGTTCTGCAGCGCCTTCGTCATCGGCCCACCTTTCAGCAAGTGAAGATGTCACGTGAGGTCCCGTTACGTGACACCATAGTGACTTCATCATCGACTAATACAGCGATCTGGGCGAATTGGTATATATAACGCATACGGGTAATCGTGCACTCTGACAGAAACAAATGACCGGGAACGGAGTACCGCGATGCACGTTTACCCGAACAGGTTCACGATGACGTCACAAATTTTGGTGATGTGCAACGTCATAATGACCTGATATGGTGACCTCGTAACATGATGACGATTTTTTTTCAACACTCGAGCTGGCACTGACAGGTCAATTTTGGCTTTTAATTAGGTGATCGCATGCTTTCGCCTCAACAGAGAACCTCAGGAAAAGGTGAAAGCTTCAACTTGGAAAAATCAAAAGTCACCAGCAGCCGATGTATCAGGGCAGCTACTGCTTAAAACATGTTGCTGATGAAAGCCTTAGCTACACTGACGAAGACAAATCCTCTTGTCGATACGCCGGCTCCAGCTACATTCCTAAAGCCACGGTATCATCACGCCACACGCTGTAGTGGAAGACAACGGAAACGTTGACTATCTGGCATCTTATTGCCATGCACTGACATTACAGATTACACGGGACTCTAGGATTCCGCAGATATCAAAACGATGTCTCCATGGCCAGGACGAAACCCGCCACTTTCTGGTCAGCAGCCGAACTCTTTGATCACGTTGCCATGGAGGCGGACATTATTCAGCCCGGTGTTTTATGAAACTCTTGTATATGTAGGCCAACTATAAAATGGTCCTATTCCTGAAAGAAACCCTTGAATAACTGACTCTGCGAAAAATGGTTGCACTGGCACATCTCGAGCACATGAAAATACGAGGAGAAAAAAAAAAGATGTATGCGGAGTACCGCGAGGAGTGCGCTTCGATTCGTACAAATGTCTCGGGCGGGCAAAAAGTTTCCTTTAATACGTCGGCATCGATCAGTGGCAACCGATCCGGCCAGCCGTGCGCGAAGGGAGAAAACAAAACCATAGCGGCTGGTGTGTGCACAGCGACTGCGATGCGCGACTCCGGTTGGGCTGCTCGGTCGGAGGACCATGCTTCCTTGTGGCGGCCTTTCGCGGCATTGACAAATGCGTCAAATATGTGCGGAGCTGCTCCTCTATACGGCTCATCGGCTTCCCTGCGAAAAAATACACCGAGGCCTTCTCCCGTGCGCTTCTTTTCTTTCTTTCTTTCTTTCTTTCTTTCTTTCTTTCTTTCTTTCTTTCTTTCTTTCTTTCTTTCTTTCTTTCTTTCTTTCTTTCTTTCTTTCTTTCTTTCTTTCTTCCTCTCTTTCTTTCTTTTGGGAAGTCAGCTAGTGCCCCTCTGTATGCTCCAAATCCTTCTCACAGCCTTGTATTCCTACTTTGCATTGTACCCGACAAAATGTTATCCACGGAAGCAATGGCTACGATTAGATATGACATAAATGCAAGAAACCAGATCAACTTGTTCGTCGTCGTTCGACAGACTACCCCATTTTCAAAAATTATGCCCACAGAATATCTTGATGTCGATTCCACTCATCACGCTCAGCGTGGCGCATGGCATTTACGCCGAGTACTCTTTTTAATCACCATGGTGGTCTATAGGTCATGGTGCTGGACAGCTGATCTGATGGTCGCGGGATCGAACTCCGGTCGTCGCGGCCACCTATTGGTGGAGGCGAAATGCTTAAGGCCCGTGTATCTACAGGGCAGTGCTGCCAGCTCTAGGAAAATTTCCCTAGATCTAGAGAATTTCGGTTGTATATAGGGGAAAAAAAGAAGTTTGTCATCATCTAGGGAAATTTTTCATTTCCACATGAAGCAAGCAGATCGACGGTGGCGTAGAGTTTCAAACAATAATACTTGCATTTAACTAGAGTTACATACAAGTAACATAAAGCCAGAGTGTAAAAACATGCTGGAACACGTAGTTACGACGCGACCAAATGCATGTTGCTCACCATTGCCTGAAGTTATTTAGACTATATTTTGTGTTCTCAAATATTGTTTAATTAGATCTGTTTAACTTTTTCAGGAAGGAAGATGAATAAAAAATTTCAGTTAGAAAGTCGTAGATCGGTTTGCAAAACGTGCAAATAGATTGTTTTGAACTTTATATCTTTTAAGTATTAGTGTTTTTCTGCTAATTACAAATTCCCGTGAAATACAAAAAAAAATACCACGTGACAAACCCGCTCGCGCGTCAGTGCGCACGTTGATTGTAGTATTCCCTAACGTTCCTCGTATGAACGACACGCTTTACTCGCACCGGTTCATGACAGCGATAAGCAGTCACAGCGGTTATCGTTTTTGTGGTCGATAGCAAAAAGTGTTCATCGTAAAGCCACCACCATCGTTGCGGCCATGCCGAGACAGCACAATGGGGCAAATGTCATTGTCGTTCGTAAGCGGAACGTTAGGGAGCACTAGAATCACTGCGCGCACTGGCGCACGAGCGGGTTCGCCACGTGGCATTTTTTGTATTTCGAGGGAATTTGTAATTAGCAGAAAAACACTAGTACCTAACAGATACAAAGTTCAAAACTATCTCATCGGACGTTTTGTAAACGGATCTACAACTTTCTCATTGAAATTTCTCATCTATCTTCGTCTCTTGAAAAGTTAGTTAATTAAACAATATTTGAGAACACAAAAAATTGTCGGACTAACTCCAGGCAACGGGGAGCAACATGCATTTGTTCGCGTCGTAATTAAATTTCGGGCATATTTTTAAACTCTGGTTAAAGTTACGTGAAACCCCTGTATGAATATTCATGTGTCCAAAATTTTTGGAGCCCTCCGATACGGCGTCCCTCGTAATCCTATCATAGTTTTGGGACATAAAAACTTTCGACGGCAGTTATTATTATTTCGTTTGTGTGTTTGCGTTGCTTGTTGTCTCTTTTATTTTTCTTTGGTCACCGAAGTTGACCACTACGTGCTACCAATTCTAGTGAAGGCGTGCCAAGGGTTGAACGGATTGAAAGACGATATTTACTTCTAGCTAGAAACATCCTATTTTTCATGGCGGCTTTGACCTGCTGTAAAATCAACGGCAACAACAACAACAACAAAAAAACAAGACGAGGCAATATAGTCTTTTAGATACCGCCAATTCCTGCGCTGATATGAAATATTCGCATAAATAACACAATACAACTTGAACGAATTTCAACGTCGAAAGTAGATTAGCATGCACAAAGCCTAAAAAAATATCCCGTGGTCGAGCTGGGGATCCAGCATGACTAATATTTTCATACTTCTGTTTTCTTTTTTCTGCCAGGGAGTATGCACCACGAAACGACGAGTGAAGAGACAAAATGCCCTTGCAAGATAAAAAAGCAGGAAGAGTCAAGCTCCGACAGAGACGGTCGGCGACGTCTCCTCCTCAACGTATCGCTTTTGCAGGTTGAGTAAACACACGCACACCCTGCCCCGGTGGGCTCATCCGTGTCACGTGGCAGGTCGGTTCCACCGTACACACGCATATACTTCTGTTCAACAAGGGGTCGGTTGTGTGCGTGTGTGCGAGTGAACCAGCTAGGCTGAGGTGCAGGGGAAGAGGAATGCGGCGTGTAGCGAAGGGGTGGGCGGGTGGCCATTGGTCAAAGCACGGTCAGCAGCGACGTATGTGTGCGCGTACACGCGCACTCCTGGACACGACATCCGCTCATGGTGTGTGCGCGCGTGCCGCGGGGTGCGTGATGGCGGCCACGGCTAGGTGTCAGCAACACCGGCGCGAGAGGGCTGTTATAAATGATGTGAGCCCAGCACGCATCGTGACCATCCCGATGGGCACGCATATATGCACGCTGACGTCTGTGCGCTCCCCGCGGGGCTCATTTGTCCCGTCTCTCTCGATATCTGCAGCTCGCTTTTACTAAGAGCGCGTGCGTGCGATATCCTTGTTTGAACTTCGCTCCTATCATTATTTTACTCCTGTTCTCATACACGAGTGAGAGACCGGGGGTCCCTGGGCAAACAGGAGAAAGGTGTGGACAGTGGGCAGCCGAGCCTGTCGTGATGTGGTTCGCCCCCCTCCGCGGTGCTTGCTCGGGGTGCGATTCCTTCTTCCTGCATGCTCTTGTTCTATGTGCGAGGGTATTGCGGAGCCCGATGTGCGTGCTTGTGTGTATAAAGGGCGCGCTTATGGATTGGGTAACTCGAGAGCTTAGCGTGCAGTTTCGTGGCCCAGAGATGATAGGATCAAGCCCCACGAATCTCGGATGATAGGAGCAGATGAATGAATGAACCGCCAAGACTCACACAAGGGTCACCACCGTGGGAGCTGGTTCATCTCATTTGGCAACAGTAAACTTATAGGTGCGGGCAAACGAAGAAGTGAATATGGAAGAAGTGGAGCCATGCTTTGCAGAAAATGAACGAAATTGCATTTGCGAGGCTGCGAGAAATGCGCATCATCTGTGCATAACTTGCAAGCGTTCGAGAAAATGTATCACGTAGGTCTCTGTGTGTATTTTATCACGGTGGTACGAACATTTCAACCACTATCGAGAACTGGAGAGACGTAAGAACGCCGCATTTAAGAAGGTACAGAGTACTTCCGTTTTCAGGCTGCTATCTCATGTACGCCTATGGTAGCGTGACCTGGGAAATTTTTGACAGGCCCTGAACATTGTCTTGACGTACTATTTCAGTTTCTCGAGGCATTCTGTCAACCGCTGGTCATTCGCACTGGCCACCCTATCAGTTTTTTTTTCTAAAAGTGTTCATGCCATTTCAGGTGCTCACAAATGCTTTAGACCCATTTCTTTTAGGGGCGAAGCTCCTTATAGCGGCACCCGTTCGTCCCCCGTAGTATGTAACAAGTATAACATTTTGACCTCCAAGCTTGTGCCAGTGAGAGACTTCTTCTGTGCGTTGCTGAACAATAAAAAATAGTGCTCAAGGTACATGTCAATGGCTGCTAATGGGGAATGAGAGACAGGAGCAATCGGCTTTTAGTTAACGCGCAGGCTGCGATCACCATTAGCAGCCATTGGCATGTACATTGAGCACTATCTGACAAGAAAGGGTTGCTACATTATACTCGCTGGGTGTAACCTCCTTAGCTTTAGAAAGGTTTAGCGAGCGTTGAGCCGCAGTGCCATGTATACAATGAACTTGTATATAAACCATGAATGAACTAGAGGTGGTTAAAAATGGGAAGTAGATACGAAGCGCTAGCCGTAAGAAAGTAAAAGGCGAATTCTCCGCCTCTCATTTCCCATTAGCAGCCATTGGCATGTACATTGAGCACTATCTGACTGAAAAAGTTTGCTACGTCATACTCGCGGGACGTAACCTCCTTGGTTTTCGAAAGGTTTAGAGAGCGTTCTGCCGCAGTGCCATGAATACAGTGAACTAGTATATACCATGAACTCGAGGTGCACGGTTAAAGGTGGGAAGTGGACCCGAAGCGCAAGCCGTAAGAAAGTGTGCGTGTGCCACCTCTCGTTTAGTCCTTGGAATGTCCGCTGGATGGCGGTGCTTCTATATGTGGAATATATGATGAAAAGATGCGAGATGGTAATACTTGGAGTGTTGAATAGATGGACGAACGGACACACAGACAGATGCATGGATGGACGCATGAACGGACGCAGGGGCGGCTGCATGGACGAACACAGGCACGGACGCACGAACAGACGCACGCACGGACGGGCTGATGGACGCATGGACGGTCACACAGATCGACGCATGGACGGATGGAAGCAAGAACGAATGGACGGACGACTGCTCCGCCCCACTCTCCATCATTCACTCCGTGGATATGCTGCCATTTTTTTCGGCCATACACTTGTACCAGGTGACGCATGGCTACATTGAAAATGTGCGTAGCGAATGTTGTTCTTACATGAAGACGGCGGTGATTTGGATTGGTTACCTCTGCTTTTTTGTTTAGAAAAAATTTATTTACAGCATGTACAGAACACAAAGGCTTCATACCATTCCAGTAACAGGGCATATACACCTCGGCACATCTATATTTCACGACTAACATCACTACGTTACAGTGAAGACATTTGCTCTAATATACATGACAATGTTGGCATATATGTACACAAGAACTCAATGCGATATCATGATACAATGGTATAACGATACAATAGATGCAATGAAACACGATATGTAACAAATGAAATCATATAAAACAACTCAACGGGCGCTGCTTAGCACCAAGTTGGTTGAAAAATGAGTTGTATCCTTTCGTGTTCCACCTTGACGAAAGGGCACGACCAATGCCGCAGAAACTCTTGCTCCCCGAGGAAGAAAAGCTCCTCGGAGAGGAACGCGAGGATCTCTCGTCTCATTCTCCCCAGTATCGGCCACAAAGCACGCCGGCGGCAATTGGCAGCTACGGCCTCACATCGGTTTCTCCAAAGGCTGAACAGCCCCGCAACTATTAACAGAGCGGAGAAGCGGCTACGCGGAAATCGGCCGTTGGACACGAAAGTTCGCACCCCCTGTCCCATAAACCAGCGTTAACCGCACGCCAAAAAAGGCGGGAAACCACACATTCAAACGTCGCATGTCGATTGGTCTCTACCATGACGCAGTTGGGGCAAGTGGAAGTGCGAACC